TTGGTGATCGCTGGTGAACACACGGAATATTTACAATTTATGCCGTAAGGAATGAGAAGAAACTTTGGGTGGCAATGCTTAGGGTGACATCCGATATTCACCGACACATTGTTAAATTCCCGCTCCCACACAGCGAGTATGCCCCCACCAATAACCCTTTAGATCAGGGAGGACGTTCCACGACACCCACGCCACGCCACGCACGCACACTACTACTACTACTTTTTTTTTTTTTAAAAACGTGGCCTCCAGCCTCCCCCAATAGCCACACCTTCGCCACCATTTATTTACCTTAATATTAAATATCCTAATACATAAGAAGCTATCCTATCTGTGTTAAATTAGTTGAGCCGCAGATCTATGCGGCATTCAGTGACTGTAGCCTCATAGTCAATATCTGCAGCAGTTGTCGGAGTAGGGGCAGAAGCTCTCGTTCCCCTGAAGCAAAGCAAAGCCGACCGAAGGAGAGAGAACGACAGTCGACATCTCATCCAGGCTGTGACATAACTTCTTGGCTGCTGCTTCTGTTCGGAGATCAACTCCGCGAGTCTGGCGTAGAAACATCTTGCACTTGGACCCATCCCACCAGAGGTTGTGAACACTAAAGGAGTGAAGCTGCCTTGATCAACGTTTTGAATTCTCTCCTCATATGCCCTTCTCTTGTCGTTCTCGTTCCTCCTATGTGCAGCATCGAGAGTTAGGTTACGGTGACATGCGGCCATGGGATCAAAAATCCTGATGTCGAAGAAAGCTCGCTGTCCCCGCGTCCAGAATCCTCGAGCACTGACGTCCACGCGGGCTTCGTTAGATGTGTTTGAAGTCCTGTGTTGGAAGATCTCGCCATCCAATGGAAGGAGGGTCGGTTCTACCATGACGTCCCGGCAGATTTCCTTCAACATATTTGCTGTGAGATCCCTTAACTCGTCATGCCTCATGCATATGAAGCCCCCCTTCTTGCAGACCATGGCGTGATCGTCATCATAGGAAGAGCCACACACGCATTGGGAGGGCAATCCTTCTACTGGCCAACCGTACCTTAGAGCAATGGCATCTGTAAATTCTTGTTTATTGAGACTGAAACCATTTGCCCTTATCGGTAACGTAGTTAACCAGTTCGAGGCGCCCACCTCCTGCGCTATAGCTACTTTTTTTTCAAATTTTCTGGAACCTGCAGCAATCGTTGCTGCAACTTTTCATTTTGGCAGTGCTGTCGATCTGTCGTAATGGACCTACGAATCTTATTTACTTTCCTGGTATCCACTTCCCCTGTTGCAGTCTACTACTTCTACTACTACTAGTGTTGTACCATGGTTCTACTGCTACTGCTAGTGTTGTACCATGGTTCTGCTACTACTGCTAGTGTTGTACCATGGTTCTACTACTACTGCTAGTGTTGTACCATGGTTCTACTACTGCTGCTAGTGTTGTTCCATGGTTCTACTACTGCTGCTAGTGTTGTAACATGGTTCTACTACTGCTGCTAGTGTTGTACCATGGTTCTACTACTGCTGCTAGTGTTGTAACATGGTTCTACTACTGCTGCTAGTGTTGTACCATGGTTCTACTACTGCTGCTAGTGTTGTACCATGGTTCTAATACTGCTGCTAGTGTTATGCCATGGTTTTTCTACTACTACTACTACTACTACTACTAGTGTTGTACCATGGCTCTACTACCACTGCTACTGTTGTTGTACCATGGTTCTACTACTACTACTGTTGTTGTACCATGGTTCTTCTACTACTGCTAGTGTTGTACCATGGTTCTACTACTACTGCTAGTGTTGTACCATGGTTCTACTACTGCTGCTAGTGTTGTACCATGGCTCTACTACCACTACTACTGTTGTTGTACCATGGTTCTACTACTACTACTGTTGTTGTACCATGGTTCTACTACTACTACTACTAGTGTTGTATCATGACTCTACTACTAGCAGTGTTGTACTAGTGATTTATTTAATATTAGTCTTGTTTTACTTCTCGCTTTATTCAAGTGTTGTCTTACGACTAGTAATGTAACCACATTTTATAACTAAGAGTATTGTACTAGTATTGGGTTACTAGTGTAGTCGTATTGCTTGTGTTATATCAGTGTTGCGATATTAATAGTGATGTACTAGTTTTGTATTTAAACTATTATTGTGATATTATGACTTTCGTACGAGCGTTGTTTTGATTCTGATGTCATACCGATGTCTTGTTACTCCTAATGTTGTGCCGGTGTTGCGTTGCTATAGCGTTGTTCCAATTTTGTGTTACTTCTCAGGTTGTGTTAATTCTACTTTGTTTCAGTGCTCTTTTATTACTATTCCTGTGGTATATAATTAGTATTATCTCAGTGTTATGCTGTGTTGTCACACTGAAGTTTTTTTTTATTGTACGTTTTGTACCAGTATATTATTATTACCAGTGTTGTGTGTTTTTCTTTTACCAACGTTGTGTGCGTTTTTTTACCAGTGTAGTGTTTTTGTTTTACCAACGTTGTGTGCGTTTTTTTACCAGTGTAGTGTTTTTGCTTTACCAGTGTTGTGTGTTATACTTTTACCAATGTTGTGTGTTTTTGTCTTACCAGTGTTGTGTATTTTGTTTTACCAATGTTGTGTGTTCTGTTTTACCAACGTTGTGTGTTTTGTTTTACCAACGTTGTGTGTTCTGTTTTACCAATGTTGTGTGTTTTTCTTTTGCCAATGTTGCGTGTTTTTATTTTACCAATGTTATGTGTTTTTATTTTAATTGTGTGTTTTTCTTTTACCAGTTGTAATGATTGTCTATCAGATCATAGCGTCCAGCCAAGAGAAGAACAACACATATAGCAGTAACTATATGAGCAGTGTACACCCACTTAAGTCGACCCACCCTACAGTAATTAAATGAGACCCAACAAAGGTCAAGAAAATCTCGCCACCGTGTGATGAGAGAACAAGCAACATGCTCTTGTTAATTCAAGGAACTGCCCCCCAGCCAGTACACCTGATACCTTACCAAACACACCTGGCCAGACACACCCAGGGTGGTAATAATTAGGAAGCATTACCGACCGGTGTACCACGATAGCGACAGGACAGTGACCCACCAAGCACCACGAACCTGATCAAACACAGCTGTCCAGACCCACCCACATTAGTGATAATTAGGAGACGACATCTGTCGGCCTGGCACCTCCAATATAAGGGACCTAGAGCTCCTTCCAAAGGACATACAGGGAGAGACAGAATGCAGAGCCAGACGGAGTCACACTCGCCCCAGCAGTACCAGGCCCTACAGAGTCCCCAGCTGCTGGGCCTCCCTCAGGTCACAAGTGAGTCATTGCCAGAGCGATCCGTTGGGTGAATTACTTATGGTGGGAAGTGTATCCATTTCATGTTTTTGCCCGGGAGTCATTGTCTAGTAACGTCAATATAATGATCTATTAACCCTTTGGCTGCGGGAGTGCAGGAGGTTACTCTAAGCTGAATAAAATGGTCTGGCGGTAGCCTGAATAAAATGGTAAATGCGGGAAATGCAGCGAGAGGGTTAAGGTGTCCATGCCATTCAGTTAACGAATAAACAGCTGTACTTAGAATTATTGATTAGAAGATTTCCCCTAAGAGCATATACCAAGTTAAATAACTATTCGGCCATGCTACCAATTTTCTTCACTTTACAACCCTACTACTATAAAATCTTATTGTATCTCCACCCGAGTTTACCCTCATTATAATGGTGGTAGACTTTAAATTAAACTCATAACTCTCCCACCCCCCCTACCCATTAGCCAGTCATTATGGAGTCTGGGTTCCTATTAGTGTTGTTTTGCTACTATCGGTGTACCAGTGAAGTGTTACTACTAGTAATTTGTCTAATATTGCTGTAAGAGGTGACAAGCAATGGGTGCCCCCCGCCCCCTTGTACAGATGAAACCGATAGAGGTACAAAAAACTTAATATAGCATTTTTCAGATAATTTAATTCTACGTCTAAACAAAATGACTGAACAGTTGGTGTTGTGGCCTTATGCTTGGCACACATATTTAAGGGTAAGGAGAAACTTGAAAAAGTCGGTTTTCTTTGAGAGATTTCAGAAGATTATTTCGATGTACTGCTCCCTAGTTTCCGATCGGTATTTATCTTTACTATTCCTTTCACTACGGGTTGCCACTATTTATATTCTATTTGGCTAACTCCAGGCTATTTCATTCAGCACAGGGCGACACAAGGGAGCCCACCCATCAGCAGAACAAAGCCATCTTAAGGACGACCTAGGCGTCTCTGTATATATTATACAAGAGGATTGAATAGCCAGTGCCATGCTACAGGGTGTAACTTGTGTGAAAAATGTGTGAATGAAAGATGAAAAGACTTATTAACAATGAGGAATATGACATTCTGACATCTAGTGGTCCAATTCTCGACTTTGTGTTAAGTTATGCCTTCATGGTCAACAGTCAATAACACAGGTACAATCAAACACACCAACAGATCGGGAGTTTGACATTTTCTAGTGTTTCAGATGTAGGAGCTTGCATCTTGTGCACATTAACTCAAGGTCATTTCTGCCAAATTCGAAAGCCAGGACTCCATGACAAAGGAGGAAATAAAAATAGAGGGATACAATGTACAGCGTCTAGAAAGAAACAAACATAGGGGCAATGTTTGTGTATATATAAGAAAAGACTTGGCTTACTACCTTACAGCAGACTTACATGTTAACCATCTGGAGGGCCTATGGCTGGAGATATTGTTTCCCAAAACTAAACCCATCCTCGTTAACATTCTCTACCACCCACCCAACAAAGATCTATTTGGAGACAATAATAAAGGGTGACTTTGATATTTGTTACAGTTAAACCAGAAAACAAAGTCCTCAGTCACAATAGTAGATCATTTAATGCATAATAGCCTTAACGCTCGCTACACTGAAGTATTGACGAATCAATAAGTACCAAAATAATTATTCCCAGTCAGTGGGAACACTTAGGTAAAATTATCATCATACAACCAAGAATATAACAGAACTTACTTGAAGCAATCCTGATCTGCGACCCAAATTTCCCGAGCTGGTCCTTCTTGGTTGACCTCAATGGTCCTGTACTCGGTTGGCGAAGAAGACACTGTTTATTTTGGTTAAAGAGATTATGTATGAGTAAACCTTATGTTGACTTTCTGTTCTCAGCTGGAAAAGAGTTAACTGGAATAAATAGACTTGTATAAGTAAACTAGTAAATTATCAAGACTTGCCGACTATACTCCATTGCATCACAACTTAAATTCAACAGTGAATATATTAACTTTTACCATATTATTGTTAAATGCATTTTGTTAATCTAAATTTTAACTGACACTAAGGCTTAATGAAATATATATCTTGAAGACGATGCGCACTCAAAAATTTATGGTGTTCCGAACAATGTAGAGTTGTTGCTTACTCTCAGGATGGCCAGCTTGCCATTCTTGGTTCTGGGGTTTATGAGTATCTTGTTCTTCTATACCACTTCGTTGTTTACCTTGAGGGAGACTTGTTTCTTCGATGACCATAGAAGTCAGGTTTGAGGATTCTAAAAGAGCAAGAAGACCATTTACCTGTGTATCTGTGACTCGTGACTCCCAAACAGTGGCAGGTTTCATGGTATAGTAGCGTAATGATCCAAAATCCCCTGACGAGATAGTGAAAAACAGTACCATGCAGTTTACCGCCACCAGGATCACCAACACCATCTTAACAACTCTCGCCATTAGCGCCATTTTGGCCGTGTCAGTAAAACTTTCTGTAAAATAAGTTTAAAGATAGAAATAAATAATCAAAAAATAATAACGGAAGTTAATCGTTTTTTCATCGAAATATTACGTGAAAACAATCTGTTTATTGAAGTGAGACGAAGGTTGAAGATTTTCTGTTTTAATATTTGATTTAAAAGCCTCTGTGGAAGTATAAGTGGGTGCAGAGTACAAGTACATGTTCAGGTAAAGGTAATGTAATAAAAGAATGCCTTCCCTTAGGGAAAATAATACATTAAAAGTTTAATTACCTGATGTAGAACAGGTTCCTGATAATTACCTGATAATTACCATTAACATCTGTGTAACATTATAGCAGTCTCTGTAAACGTAATGGGAGTTAGTACTTGTATAAATCTGGGCTAATTTCTTATAATTATATTTATATAATTAGCATTATACTAATTACTTAGATAGAGGGAAAAGGACCACATCTTATCGTTTACTTTTCACGTTGCCAGATGACATTCCCATTTCCTTGTCAACCGTAAAATTCGCACGGCTCCATATCAGGATAGGTTAAAGAAATAAAACTTGCATTCCCTAGAAAGACGAAGAGTGCGGGGAGATATGATAGAAGTATTTAAGTGGGTGAAAGGAATCAATAAAGGGGATATAGATAAAGTTCTTATAATATCCAAGCAGGATAGGACTCGGAGCAACGGATTTAAGTTGGATAAGTTTAGGTTTAGGAGGGAGATAGGAAGAAACTGGTTCACAAATAGGGTGGTGGACGAGTGGAACAAGCTTAGCAACTTTGTAGTAAGTGCTGGAACGCTGGAAAGTTTCAAAAGGAGGCTGGATAGATTCATGGATGATAGAGAGTGGTAGTAACTCTCGACAGGAGCTGCCATGCACAGGCCAACCGGCCTATTGGAGACCCCTTATTTTCTTATGTTCTTATGTTCTAAGTGTCTGTCCCTCAGCACAGTACACCCCTGGATCTGAGACATACTAGACGCGCTGAAGAGGCTCATTAAATATCCTTCTACGTTCTCTCTTAAAAACACAGTTGCCTATCATTGGTTAATTCGTCATTACACAATACAAACATATTATTTTACAAATAACTCCAGCTGAAGCTACAAGGACAATTACAAGAGCTAAGTGTGCCAGTGGTGAAGAAAACATTAAAGCTAAAGTCACAAGGTAACGTTAAGGTGTTACATCTAGTGGGAATATTGAACAATCTCTAGTGGAAAGTGGACCAGGTGGAATATACCTATAATCAACAGCGGAATCAAAAGGTGTTACTGGTCGGATTACCGGATTATCCACAGCTGCTTATTCAAGATGACCATAAACTCACAGCAGCATCGTAATCAACTCATTAACAAAGAATACGTAAAGTTAAGTAAACATCTTCATTAACCAAACATCTCAGCAGTACACTTTCTACCTGGAACACTCTTCCCCCCATAACTCGTTTTACTCTACACGCTATGTAACTCATTTCAGTCGTAGATCATATTTCCTTATCACTGTTTTATTATTTCTGGGTAAATTAAATTTGTTCAAAAGAAGAACGCCAAAAGCACCAAGGCGATACTCTTAATTAAAAGGAATTTATTTTTATTTTTATGATATTACTGTTACTGTCTTGGCTGTTATTAGTGTTACTGTCTTGTCTTGGCTGTTATTACTGTTACTGCCTTGGCTATAATTACTGTTACAGTCTTGGCTGTTATTACTGTTACTGTCTTGGCTGTTATTACTGTTACTGTCTTAGCTGTTATTACTCTTACTGTCTTTGCTGTTATTACTGTAACTGTCTTGGCTGTAATTACTGCTACTGTCTTGGTTGTTATTACTGTTATTGTCTTGGTTGTTATTACTGTTACTGTCTTGGTTGTTATTAATGTTACTGTCTTGGCTGTTATTACTGTTACTGTCTTGGCTGTCATTGCTGTTACTGTCTTGGTTGTTATTACTGTTATTGTCTTGGTTGTTATTACTGTTACTGTCATGGCTGTTATTACTGTTACTGTCTTGGCTGTAATTACTGCTACTGTCTTGGTTGTTATTACTGTTATTGTCTTAGCTGTTATTACTGTTGCTGTCTTGGTTGTTATTACTGTTGCTGTCTTGGTTGTTATTACTGTAACTGTCTTGGCTGTTATTACTGTTACTGTCTTGGCTGTTATTAGTGTTACTGTGTTTTCTTGGCTGTTATTACTGTTACTGTCTTGGCTGTTATTACTGTTACTGTCTTGGCTGTTATTACTCTTACTGTCTTGGTTGTTATTACTCTTACTGTCTTGGTTGTTGTTATTACTGTTACTGTCTTGGCTGTTATTACTTTTACTGTCTTGGTTGTTATTACTGTTACTGTCTTGGTTGTTATTACTGTTACTGTCTTGGCTGTTATTACTGTCTTGGCTGTTATTACTGTTACTGTCTTGGCTGTTATTACTTTTACTGTCTTGGTTGTTATTACTGTTACTGTCTTGGTTGTTATTACTGTTACTTTTTTGGTTGTTATTACTGTTACTGTCATTGGCTGTTATTACTGTTACTGTCTTGTCTTGGCTGTTATTATTCTTACTGTCTTGGCTGTTATTACTGTTACTGTTATTACTGTCTTGGCTGTTATTACTGTTACTGCTGTTATTACTGTTACTGCTACTTGGCTGTTATTACTGTTACTGTCTTGTCTTCGCTGTTATTACTGTTACTGTCTTGTCTTGGCTGTTACTATTCTTACAGTTTTGGCTGTTATTACTGTTACAGTCTTGTTTGTTATTACAGTTACTGTCTTGGTTGTTATTACTGTTACTTTTTTAGCTGTTAGTACTCTTATTGTCTTAGCTTTTATTACTCTTACTGTCTTGGCTGTTGTTACTGTTACTGTCATGGCTGTTATTATTTTTACTCTCTTGTTTGTTATTACAGTTACTGTCTTGGTTGTTATTACTGTTACTTTTTTAGCTATTATTACTGTTACTGTCTTGGCTGTTATTACCGTTACTGGCTTGGCTCTTATTACTGTTACAATCTAGCCTATTATTACTGTTACTGTCTTGGCTGTTATGACTGTTACTATCTTTGCTGTTATTGCTGTTACTGTCTTGGCTGTTATTACTCTTACTGTCTTGGTTGTTATTACTGTTACTGTCTTGGATATTATTGCTGTTACTGTCTTGGCTGTTATTACTGTTACTGTCTTGCCTGTTATTACTGTTACTGTCTTGTCTTCGCTGTTATTACTGTTACTGTCTTGGCTGTTATTACAGTGACCCTCTTGGCTCTTATTACTGTTACTGTTTTGTTTTCGCTGTTATTACTGTTACTGTGTTGGTTGTTATTACTGTTACTGTCTTGGATATTATTGCTGTTACTGTCTTGGCTGTTATTACTGTTACTGTCTTGCCTGTTATTACTGTTACTGTCTTGTCTTCGCTGTTATTACTGTTACTGTCTTGGCTGTTATTACAGTGACTCTCTTGGCTCTTATTACTGTTACTGTTTTGTTTTCGCTGTTATTACTGTTACTGTGTTGGTTGTTATTACTGTTACTGTCTTGGTTGTTATTACTTTTACAGTCTTGGGTGTTATTACTGTTACTATCTTGGCTGTTATTACTGTGACTGTCTTGGATGTTATTACTGCTACTGTCTTGATTTTTATTACTGTTCCTGTCTTGGCTGTTGTTACTTTTACTGTCATGGCTGTTATTACTGTTACTGTCTTTGCTGTTATTACTGTTACTGTCTTGGCTGTTATTACTGTTACTGTCTTGGATGTTATTACAGTTACTGTCTTGGTTGTTATTACTGTTATTTTTTAGCTGTTATTACTGTTACTGTCTTGGCTGTTATTACTCTCACTGTCTTGGTTTTTGTTCCTGTTACTGTCTTGACTGTTATTACTGTTACTGTCTTGGTCTGTTATTTCTGTTACTGTCTTGGATATTATTGCTGTTACTGTCTTGCCTGTTATTACTGTTACTGTCTTGCCTGTTATTACTGTTACTGTCTTGTCTTCGCTGTTATTACTGTTACTGTATTGGTTGTTATTACTCTTAATGTCTTGGTTGTTATTACTTTTACAGTCTTGGGTGTTATTACTGTTATTTTCTTGGCTGCTATTACTGTTACTGTCTTGGTTGTTATTACTGTTACTGTCTTGGCTGTTATTACTGAGAGTTTCTTGGTTGTTATTAATGTTACTGTCTTGGCTGTTATTACTGTTACTGTCTTTGCTGTTATTACTCTTGTTTTCTTGTCTGTTATTACTGTTACTGTCTTGGTTGTTATTACTGTTACTGTCTTGGCTGTTATTACTGAAAGTTTCTTGGTTGTTATTACTGTTACTGTCTTGGCTGTTATTACTGTTACTGTCTTTGCTGTTATTACTCTTGTTTTCTTGTCTGTTACTACTGTTACTGTCTTGGTTGTTATTACTGTTACTATCTTGGCTGTTATTACTGAAAGTTTCTTGGTTGTTATTACTGTTACTGTCTTGGCTGTTATTGCTGTTACTGTCTTTGCTGTTGTTTCTCTTGTTTTCTTGTCTGTTATTTACTGTTACTGTCTTGGTTTGTTATTACTGTTACTGTCTTGGCTGTTATTACTGAAAGTTTCTTGGCTGTTATTACTGTTACTGTCTTGGCTGTTATTACTGTTACTGTCTTGGCTGTTATTACTGTTACTGTCTTGGCTGTTGTTCACTGTTACTGTCATGGCTGTTATTGCTGTTACTGTCTTGGCTATTTATTACTCTTACAGTCTTGGTTTTATTACTGTTCTGTCTTGGTTGTTATTACTGTTACTGTCTTAGC